TTGAACTGCTAGCTAGCAGTCGTGTTGGCAAAATAATTGAAAGTACTTTGGTGTTGAATATGTTTTTCCTTTTCCCATTGTCTTAGATCCCATCCAAATTTCAATCACACCACCAAGTTAGTGGAAGGCAAGACAAGCTTACTTTTGCATGAATTTCCAGGAAACAACGATTAAAGATAAAAAGCATTTTAATAGAGAAACAGTGGATTCTCAATAGCAATATATAAGGCAGTGTAATTAAGCTGCTTCCTCATTCATGTAGAAACAAGTATTATATATCTGTTTCTTGCTTTTCATTCTGTGCTACTCCGTAAGCTACTATGAATTAAGTCCTTATCATCCCATATATGATTATTTCTCTCTGTTTCATTTATATATATACATATATATATATAGATACATATTTCTCAATATCTGCTCCTGTCCTATATATATTGCATTTCTCAGCTGTGAAATGTGGTTCTAGCATATATTGCATAATTTGCATCGAAGCATTATAACCATCATGTATGCTATTGCTACTTACATATGACTTTTCTTGGGCCAGCACCAAACATTCCAACAGTTTGAATGAGTGGAATTAACTTTCATTTCAAAAGCATTCAAATCTAATACTTACTATACATGCGTATAAAAAGTATATATTTTTTATTGCACAACTCAGTTTACTTTAAAAAATAATAATAACTAATCGCATGATTTATTTGGATTCAAGCAGTAGAGAAGTTACCTTTTGTTAAAAAGAAAATAAAAAGCAGTGGAGAATTTATGTGTTTGTGTATATGATGGACAATTAATAAAAAGATTATCGGGCAGATAAGATAGTGAATTATATACATGTATGCATGTGCGCACACATATATGTTCCATCTTGCTTTTAACATATGTAAATGAATTATGTGCTTTGGCAACTTACAGAAGATAGAGATGCGAGACGAGGACAAGCGGAAAGAAACCAAAGTGCCTAGTTCAGACCTAGGTGATCATCAGCCTTCATGTCAAAAGGAAATAATCTCAGAGATCCACGGTGCACCAAATTTGCCTACAGAGTGCCCACACAACGTTCAAGTACAACTAGCTTCAGAAGAGGTGCAGAATTTGTCCTTGCTCTTCCATTTTATCTAATGAGATCATTGAATATATCTCCCAATTTTAGCATTTCATTTACCTGCAGTAGCAACAATATAAAAATGTGGTCCACATTTCCATCAAAAAAAAAAAAAAATGTGGCGCACATGAATATGAAAGCAAAATCCCACTAGAGACTAAGGCATATATATCAATCTTTAATTAGTGGGAGAGCGGGCTTCAACTCTCTGGATCATTATTTTTTTTAATCAGCAATGAATTAATTTTATAAGAAAAATGACATAAGTTTGGGTTTGGCAAACTTTATTTCACTTAATTATTTACTTAATTATTACTGGACTAGGTCCCTAGATATAAAATTTTTTTTATCTAATAATTTTTTATTTTATGATTTAATATAATTCAAATTATAAAATAGAAAATTCAAATTTTATTAAAAAGAGTATGATTGTACAGGTACTCTAACTCAACTTATACAAACATATCTCCATGTTCTTGGTAAATCTTATAACAATTTCAAAATAAATTATTCTATGTCATCCTAAATATCCTTCATTAAAAAAAATGCCGTACTACATTCCATAAACAAACCTTCCCTGCTCCTACTCTCTAGATTTTGAAACGTGTTTAATATCATAGAGGGGAAAAAGCATTATTTAAACAAAGAAATCTTGAGTCGATAAAGTGTCATTCGATGATTATATATCAAAGATGTGGATAGTTTCTTACTAGAGCTATAGGTGTACATATAAAGAGTATTTGACAAAGTTTTAAAAAAATTTGTTTTAAAAGTAAATTTTTTTCATACAAATTTAAAATTTTGTTATAGGAAAAATTTAAAAATAGGGTAACTTTTAAGTAAAATTTGAAAAAACTTAAATTTGTAGTTTTTCCAAAACTTACTTAAAAATTAATTTTTGAATTTATGGCTGCTGAAACCCTTTCTTTTACAGATTTGAAAAAAGGAAATATAAATTTCTTGTTTTATATCCCAAATCAAGTGCATCCTTAAACCAAAGTGCACCAAAACAAAAATGACCCAAAAGCTAAAATTAGATGTATATGTATTTTTTTTTTTTCTTTTTTTCCCAATGAACATGGAAAGCCTGATATTTCTTTTATGGTGCAATTTCAGATAGGGAGGGCTGATGATCAAATGCCTGTAGAGCAGGACATGGATATGGTACCAAGACAGGCTTTGCAAAGACTGATTCTGCAAACTGTGGCCGCTCAAGGCGCAGTAGAGGCCACAGTAGAGGATATGAAAAATGGGGTAAAAGTTGCACGCCTTGTTATCTCAATATCTACAACTGGGATTATTAGCATCCTTGCTGGAGTTTCAAGAAGCCATTCTTCCATGGCAAGCAAGCTCATCTTCAAATCGGGAATTCTCTCAATGTTTGCCTCTTTGTTCTTTGCTTTGGTCCTGTTGGTGCTATCCACGAACAATGCTAAACTTTCTTTTTCAAATCAAAGTCTCAGAATACTCATATGGCTATCCACAGGACTCATGACATTGGCAGTTGTTTTACTTACTTTTTTTTACTTGCTAACATGATATGCTATTTTTCCCTGCCTAAAGAGGCACTTATTAAAGAAAATAATGTAATATCTGTCTAGCAACCACTACATCTGTATGACTTCTCCTCCTGTGGCTACTTTTTCCCATCTACCACAAGACAGCTGATGGTTTTGTGCAACATAACTTTATGGCCGTTTCCTGAGTGAGGAATAAAACCTTTATTGCCAGTTATTGAATGAATAGATATTTTGATAGCTAGCATGGTATGTCCATATTGTCATCTCCTTTGTTAATCCAAAGAGGTTTTTTCTTCACTATGCAATATTTTAGAACCCCATCAACTACTGGGGAGACTGACTAAACTAAGAGGTAGAATATGACCCTATCTATCAAGTTCATCTGTTTATGGATCTTGTGAACTAAAACTGACAGCTGCATGAACTTAATGGCTATCTGCTACAAGAATGGCAAAATTCTAACCTCAATTCAGGCAAAAAAACCCATGAACCATCCCACACTTCCCTGAAATTAATACTTGGAAAGCGAGAAATCTTCTGTACTGAACCCTGTACACACTAATCCACTACAGATCTCCATATTATGAATTTGACAACGGGGCATTAAAATAAGCTCTAATGCTTAAAAAAAAAAGACTTGACCAAGTAAAAACATCATGGCATAGTTCTAGCATGACACATAGAACTTAGGAGCCTGCTTCTATGTTTTCCCAATAAAAATAATTACAAAAATAAATTTAAAACCATGTTGACAAGTGAAATAAAATCTTAAAGGGTCTAAATTGACCCTTACTCAAATAGTCATTGTAGTTGCCACTCAATTACGAGGTGTGTTACCCTATCAAGAATGGAATTTAAAATGAGAGTAGCTCCATATACAGCATGACTTGTAAGTGGACGAAGTGGGGGATTCTCTGAGGAACTAACCACCATTGACAGGCACCAAGTGAAGATCCATGTCATGAAGTCATGAACACATGATGAAACAACCTTCGAAGGATTATTTGTAGTTTCTGCTGCCACTTGATATATCTAAGGGCAGCTGGCCTACAAACTAGCTAGAAGCCTAGAACCTGAAATGATGGAAAATGGCCATATAGACAATTCGCATAAGTTCACCACCTGGAACATTGAACACAAGATGATCCTTAGGAACATAAATTGAACTAGGCTTCTCTGTATCTTATCTTTATGAAAGAATCAGTATCATTCTGTTATACCCATAACTCAAATTTGGAGGAAAATCAGGATCATATGGTCAAAATGAAAATCATAAAGGATTCCCAAGAGATTTGAATTTAAATTACAATTAGGATTGGTTAGGATCTAGGCGCAATTCGGATTTTTGTGCAGAGGGTTACAAAAACCTCTAAGGAGATAGCTAGAGAAGGGAAGAAACACTCTCCTGAACCTAATATTATATCCCAATCTATGCTTCTCCTTCTTATTAATAAAATCTTGATTACTTTGATAGATTTCTTCTTTGGGTTATTTTTCAATGATACCATTAGGTGCTCACTGTGGGGCCGATTTTTGTTCATGGTGAACCATTACCATTAAGCAATGGCTAACACTCAGTGAAATCGACATGCCACGAGTTCATGTCCACCACTATCTTCATCTTCACGAACTTCTACACAGCGAACCTGAAGATTAGGTCCCTCAGGGCCTAAGATTTCTAGGTATAGAAATACAGTGCAGGATCAAATTATTGGAGAACAAATCAAGTGCAGCAATCAAGTGAATCAAGGCTTGAAGATCAAAGAGATTCAAGGACATAAACACAAGGAGAAAATCAAGGAGAGCAGTATCAAGGAAGAAATCAATCAAGTTAGCAACGGTACAGAGAATAATAAGGCTATGAAAAATAAGGAGAATGTGGAAACTAACAGAGCAATCCAAGGGAAGAATCCAAACTGAAATACAAGGAAAGAATCCCAAAATTATCTCAATATGACCGTTGGTCACTCAATGTACTCTGCATCTTTTGGTATCAATATGGTATCAGAGCACAGGTTCTACTCTGGGAAGCTCATTGTTAACCCACCTGACAGGACCAGAAGTTGATACCAGCTTGCAATTAAAGGGGCGTGTTAACTTACGTGATAAGACCCGACATTCATAGCGGGCCTGCACGTGAGGGGGTGTGTTAAGTGAGAAAATCCCATTATAAAAATAATAAGCTTGTGGGTTAAATACAAGGAGGGTTACTCCACCTATTGTCAATTGGTTTTAGGTTGGATGCAAGTCTTGTGTTGAGCCCACATGCAGGATTTTCAATACAAATTTGGCACCTCACCTAGAATATGACGCAAATAGAGAGAAGTGTTCATGCAATTGAGCAAGTAGTGACATTTCTAGTTGAGAATTGTGACCAACTACATTTGCCATCCCTAGAGCAAGAACCAGTTTGGGCATGTCGAGCTCATGTACCACCAAGGAGTCATCCTAAGTATTCAAAAATCAACGGTGCTCCCGTCAACTACGGGATCCTATGTTGCGCTTAGCTCATAGAGAAGGTTCAAATACAGGATTACAAGAAAATGACCCTAACTATATCCCATCACAGCAATCAACAAGCCCTTACAATATCAACAATTTAGAGCCAACTTTGGTTTTTTCAACCACATGTTGGAACTGTCATCCCTGTGAGTTGGCACATGCTTCACATACTTGGACGCAAGCCTCTGCAAGTGTGAATGTCCAGTAGCTTAATTTGTAGGCAGCTCTGAGGCCTTTAGCCAGGGACGGAGCTATCATAGGCCAAGGTGGGCCAGTCGCCCCCTAAATTTTTAAAAAATATTTAATCTAGTACATTAATTTTTATTTAGTAAAATTTGTTTTTAATATTTGAATTACAATAACCATTTTGAATTTAAAGAAAATATTTAGGAGTTAAGTAAATGGACCATTTCTCTCTTAGTAATCAATTCTTAAAACAAATAATTTAATCTAGGTAAGAAAAAAAGATTTTATATTAATTGTACTTTTTTATACAATTTGTATTTTATTAATTCAATAGTTGGATTTGATATTTTAATTTAAAGTTTATTGATGCCTGTAATTATATCAAAAAAGAAATTGTATTTTATATAAAATTAGTATTTGTTCACTAGATTGGAAAAAAAAAAGTGAAAAACACTTCAAAATTAAGATGTTTTAATAAAGTATTTCAAAAAAAAGATTAATTTAATCTTCATTCTTATTCTAAAAATATGCTATTTTAGTCTATTTATTTTAACTAAAGTTTATTAAAATAACATAATTTTAAAATATTTCTGGCATAATTTTTTACCGATCCAACTTATTAATTTTTTTTATTATTCTATATTATTTATTTAAGAGCATTGAATGGTATGTTATTAAAAAATTATTCAATACATCTAATTAATTTAAAGTTTAATATGTACATTATAAGTAATACATTTACACATAAAATTAGTGATTAATATAAAAATTATTATTTTTTATATAATAATTATGGATCAAATTCTATTCTTATAATTAAGAATATACATAACTCTGTTATCAAATTATATAGCTGAAAATTAAAAATTAATATAAATTATATTAACGTAAACTTATTATAACTTTTAAAAAGTTTAAAATTTTGTCCCCTCACTCAAAAATCTAATTCCATTCCTGCCTTTAGGAAAGAGGAAGATTAAATCACGTAATATTGAAGTTGTAGAAAAAGATTATATATATATAGATATATTATTCGGGTTAGTATTTGTCCGCATTACCTTAAAAAACTTAGGAAAAAAAAGGACAAGAAACACTTTAATGTATGTTTTAAAAATAAAGTATTTTAGTTTTTTTCAATGGGTATTTATTGAAACGACATAGTTTTAAAATGATTTTCCTCCTAATTTTTAGAAAGTAAGGCTGATAAGCACTATTTTCTATTTGGTTTAATATATTGTGTAATATATTTATAAAATAATTATTATTTTTAATATATAATTATAAATAAATAAATTTTAAAAATATTATCATATAATAATATTTAAAAATTAATTAAATTCATTATATATTATGTTTTAATAATTAAATCAAATGAGTGTTGAATTAAATATATCAATTATTTTCTTATTAAAATTTTCTATCAAAGAAATAATTTAAATTAAGTCTCCTATTTATGTCACGTGAATCTTATTATTCACTTTCGTATTATATATATATATAGTGACTTGACATTAAACCTTCATACTAGACTTGGAATAAGCCTCGAAATTTATACATAACTTAATTACATGACAAAAATATTTTACAAAAAAAGTGTGCTTAATATTTTGATATGTGCTACTATAACTGTTTGCAATTTATTTTAAAAGAATAGTATAGGATACATCATTTTTTTTTAAAATTTTTTAGAGAATTTATTTAAAAATTTATTTTTAATTAATATTTTTAAAAATCAATTATTAGATTAAAAATTTTATTTATTTAAATAATAAATATCAATTTTTATATTAATCTAATACTTATAACTCTTTGATCAAATAAATTTATTTATTAATATATATTTAATAATAGTAAATTTCTTTTAATTAACAACGTGATTAAGTTTATTAAAATAATTTAAAAATTAATATATATGATTTATATAAATAAAATTTTTAATTTAATTATTGATTTTTAAAATTATTAATTAAAAAATAAATTTTTAAAAAAATCTTTAAAAAAACTTTAAGAAAATGATCTATAAAATATTTTTTTACTTAAATTGGATATACTTATTTTTAATATACAAATAATGGTTTTTTTAAGGTGAACTGTACTTAAAAAGTTAATCTACTATATATATATATATAAAAGGGGATAAAAATATTGTTAATGAATCTTCAGATGCCCCTATTTCATTGAGAGCATTAATTTGTCTTTTCTAACTCTAAACCAATAATTTTAGGAGCAAGACGGATGGTAACAAAACATTTCTATACACATATATAGAATGAGTGATGATCATGCGGACGAAAGTGCAAAGGGAAATTGGGGACGATAAGCAAGCAAGGTAAAATTGATAATTTTGTATCTTAAAATTTTTATTTGTTGTTTTTTA